AGTACTTCCGGGCTCGGCATCGGAGATTTCGTTCCGGCTGCGACAACCTCCATTCCTGCTTCTTCCGAGCAACGTTTATTGCTTTGCCAAGCGAGTGAATGGGGCGCGTGTTCGCATGTTGAAAATGCTCACCTGGAGGAAATAATCGAAGATGGAGACGGAGTTGTGGAGGTGAAATTGCCGTTGGTTTTTGACATGATCGACATGGCGGTCGTGATGCAAGACATGGAACATTTGGCTGTTCGTTGGCTTTCGACCGGTGCACGTGGAACAACGTGCAAACTGCTTCCTACGTTGAACGCGTATATTCTCACTCTGTCGGACCAGTTGATTTGGCAGGGATTTGCCCTGCCGAATGCTGTGCGACACCAAGTTTTCCCGGAACTCGTTGAAGACGATTCAGAAGCTTGTTGCGAAAACCTTGCGTCTGAATTGGACGAAGCCAGGAAAAGTGTTGTGAAAATTGTACGAGAGCTGAATAGGAAGCTTCTGAAGAATATAGAGGGTGTCCAGCAGAGAATTGATACCGAAGCAGCGTTTCTGAAGCAGGTGGGAAACTTCAAATGTGAGGTTCGTCTCCCTTCATTCTAGTATAATAATCAAGATTATCGACTTCAGCTTACTTCGGCTTTGCTGATCGATTCTGCAATAATTCAATCCTGCTCTCCGCCAAGATTGAGTCGTTGGTGGAGAACAGAACAGCAACAGCTCACAAATTTTTTTTTTTTTTTAGATTTTGTACTCTTCTGTATGTTCCGTTGACTCATTATCCAGGTTTTACTTTTAAGCGGAAATTTTTCTTCTCTTGGATACGGAATCTATCCATTACTGTATTCCTTTACCTAGCTGATGCTTGATCATATGATCTATATACTGTACAAGGTTTCTTGTGATAAGTGCCCGGATCATCTGATTTCCTGTGTTCAAGTTGGTTCGAAATTGCTGTTAATTATCCAATCCCGGTCATTTAAGTTTCCGAGTTGGAACTTGGAAATACAGTACACTAGTAATAATAGAGTAATATTCAATCTCAATCTAATTTATCCAGCAATTACTCCGTCTGGTGGAAAGGAGAAAAGATGAGAGGTATAGATAAGTACAGTACATTCCCCGAATAAACCAAATTTAGCTTCTAACTTCTTTGTTGTTCATGTCTCTGCAAGGTGTGCTGACAAATCTTGACAGAAATATTTTTAGAACGACTCAATGCATGCCGTATTGTATGAGCTTCTATCCTTAAAATGTGTAGTTTTGGTGATACCGACTGAAGAGTGAAGACTGTCGAACGGTTATTCAGAACTCATTTAATCCGGGGCTGCACTTCTTCGAAATATTAACTGCGGACGTAAATGCTTGCATTGAGATATGGCATGGATCCTCGTGTGTAGTTTCTGCAGGATCCTGACGCATACATACGGATTCTCGAAGGTCTTCTTCCTGGCTTTGGCATTCTTTTGGTCGATGAAATAGTTTTTAAATCAAATTCAGGGGAGAGAAAATTGATTAGTGCAAAATTGAAGCTGATAGTGGGTCATCTAATTGAAGCTGAAGCTTCTTCTTGTGTCAAAATAGCGCTTTTGATGTTCCGAGATATTTTCAGGTTCTGCTCTACCGGCGAAATTCTCGAAATAATCCTCACGTGTTGGCCTCAACATTTATGCGTAACTCTAGACTAGTTTAGACCAGTTAGAATATTGTGAACATGTACAGATACCACGTATTTATGCGGGGTGTTTCATAAAATGAGACGTGATTTATTAAAAATCATGTTACGTTCGTCCTGCTCTTCGTCTTCCTAATTCCATCCGCTATTATAGGGAACCATATTTCGAATAAGTACAATACTTTCATATTTTTATATTAAACAATTAAAACATCAGTCCCATGGGAACCGTTCTGAAATTCTCGGTTAATCAATATTTTGGCAAAAGAAACCCCCCCCCCCCCCCCCAAAAAAAGAAAAAAATCGCGTCTGCGAGATTACTTTCCGTGTATGACGTAACGAATTGGGAAATCCTGATCACAATTAGGAACGCTCTGAGTGTGGTAGTGGAGACGCTGTTCAAGATCACTCTATTTCTGCTGTAACCACGAAAAATCTGCGTAAGGCTAGCGGAATAATCGTGAAACAAATGAAATCCATCTGTGAAACAACGGAACTGGATTCCGGGATACAGACAATGCTGAGCGCTATGATAATTCTCCTGGATTCGATCAAGGCTGAGATAGACGATCGCGCACACCTTCTCCAGGAAAAGTTAGGCGAGCATCCCAAGAAACGCAAGTCTGATAGCAATGAAGTTGGATACAGAGAGGGATCTGTTGGCTTTAGCGATGCTAATTATGCTGCTTTGGATGACTCTGAGGCAGGCGATGTATCGAAAGTTGATGATACGAGGTCATCAATCGCCAGTGTGGACGGAAACTCGGGGCAGTTTGGTGAATCATGCGAAGTCACGGATAAAGAAAACGAAGACAGTTCCCAGGTGCGTTCTTCGCGATTTTCTGTTAAATTTTCGCGAAATTTCACATTTTTCGCTTGTGACATCACATTTTTAAAATGAATAAAACGAATGCTCTTCGAAAATGTGAGTAGTCCGTTGACTGGAGTATTTATTTGATGAAATGCGTGTCATATCTTAACGGACGGTATTTTTCCATCCAACGTTTCTCATTTCAGATACTCGAAAAAATCTTTGCCACCTTCCAGCGTACAGAGAAAATTATTATTTTTTCCATAGCGGACGTTCCTTCAAACTGAACGGCTCAAAGATGCATGGAGTCCATCAAAAATTGATAACGATGAATTAAATTTTTGGATTATAATCGACCAGTTTCAGTGTAACTCATCGGTAGTCAAGTGGTGTTCGAAGTTTTCATTTGGAAATTCTACTGCCCCACTTGAAGTGTTAGTGGGGGAATTTGACTGAAGGAATTGCGTGCAGTATTTTGTTGGACTTGAATACGCATGAAAGGAAAGTTGCACGATTAATTTGCATCGACTGCGTTGACCAGCTTTTTGTTCACATCAACTGGTTTCAAATCAATGCGCTTCGTGTACTTTCCATTTACTCTTCTTAATTTGTCTTCTGTTTATTTTTTTTTAAATCCTCAGTTCATGCATTTGTTGGACGAAGATTATGAAGCGCTGAATAAGCTGGTCGATAACATTCGACGCGAGGCCCGTATTAGCGTTTTCAATGGCCGTTTGAAGTTGATTCCGGCTGAGGGTGATTCATTGTGCTTGGGTGATAGGGTCGCCATCAATGACCTCTTAAAACCGCTTTTATCGGGAGTTGAAAGTCCCGCTCAGATTGCCGGTGCTTTGCGATCGCTAATTCCAAGCGTGGAGATGGACCACGGTTTTCAACCGTCTGGAAACTGCGCGAAAAAAAGTGACAAAGCGAATATGGAAAAGCTGGAAGAATTTCTGCCTGAAATCGATTCTGATGAAGCTGACGAGATGGATAAAATCTTGTTTCATCCCCGTGAAAGAAGGTACAGGAAATTGTTTTTTTTTCTTCGGCTTTAAGGATTTTTTGATACTCCGGTTTCACGAATCAAGAAGTCTCACAATGTTCGGTGGTTTTATCAAAATTTTCTGGAGTGAGAATGAAGAAAGAACAATTTACAAAAGTCTAACCTCAATTGGAAAGTTTTTGTAGCCTCAAAAATTTTGTGGTTCGCATTTGAAACTTGAAGTATTCACGAATTTTCACACGAAGTAAATTCTTCATGCTTTGCCTAAGAGAAGTTCCGCGATAATCGTGCGAACAAACTACGGTTGGTACTGAATTTCCATTTGTGTTCCATGACCTCAATGCGGATGCATAGAGAAGGAAGTAATTTTTCGTCTTAACGTGAACTCAATCGTTGAATTACCTGTTGCTTCAATAAAAGCCCACCTTGGAGAAAGAAGACGGGGAAACGGCTGTGAAAACTTGTTCAGTAGTTCATATATCACAGTTGTAAGCCTGAAGAATTCAGGAAATTTACTATCCTCGGCGAATCGCAAGAAGATGAGTTTCGAGTATTCGGGCTGATATTTCATGTACAATACTGCAGTGGTTTTGAGGATTCTGGCATTGTAGCTTAGGTTCTTCAACTTCTGGGTACATCTTGATTTTGATCTTTGTTGAAGGTATGAATTACAATGAATTTTACAGGTTCGTATATGGAAGTAAACCTTGAAAGATTTGGCGTTAAAGTCACTGATGAGGATATCCATGAGATACAATTCGATCTCACCATGTGAAAAGAATTTATTATTGTAGTATCTCAGCAATTTCAATTTTCCTGCGCTTTGCGTACAGCGATTTTGGAAGGTAAGTCTGAACATTACAGTACTAAAATTAAGATCTTCGTATGCAGTGAGAAATTTCTGAAAAATTGAAGGTACCCGCCGAGAAATTTTGTAAGTGAATATTGGTTGATAAATGAAGCCGGTTTTAGTCCAATATCAAAAGAATAAATTCCGTTGTAACAATTAATTTGAGACGATAATCGCGGACGAACGCGGTACTTGGCACATATAGCCATAATATTGTGTTTTGTTCGTTGAAACGGCAAGGTGTTGGCGTAAAACTTGATTTCTCAGCCCTTATGTAAAGCTAACTTTCACTATAATTTCTTCAGTTTTGCGGGCGGTGCCGATGACGACGACGCGATGTTGAATACTGGGCGATTTCAAAGCACCGTAGATGAATTGGCAAATGACTCCGAGAACGAAGACTTCAACGTTGATGAATTGGATCGGGAGATCGCTTCCATTCTGGGTTCATTTTTCGTTGCCTTTTGCATTACAATAAACGTTGGAGAATTCCCTGAACAAGGAACGGGTGTTAATCAATTACTGCTTTCGTACAGACGAGATGGAAGCTGAATCTGGCGAAGACAGAGTTGAAGAAATGATTGAGAACTCTTCAGTTCTGGCATCACTGTCAAAGCGAGCCCAGACAATCGACGGCGACGCGACGAATCTACGAATGAATGCTCGTGTCGATTCATCAGGGATTGAAATGGACACGTTTGACTTCAACGATTCTGTTTTCTCATCACTTGATGTGGGCTTTGAGAAAGTGGTGAATGCTTTCATGAAGAACTCTGCGGACATAGTAGACATCGATGAGGACAGAGACGCTGCTGATGAAGTGGACAATTGCGAAGTTCTACGAGACAAAGACCTGAATCAATCTTGCGTTGGAAAGTTATGAATACGTTTGCCATACGATTTCGCGTATCGTGATTTCCGTTTTCGTGTTATGAGCACGACTTGGTTTCACTTGAAATTTGGAGAATAAATAAAAATGCCGATTTGGAGGTATGTAACGGCTTATGAACATCAACATTAATGGGATGCACATCATTCCGAAATCTCGAAGTACTTGACCAGGAAAAGCTTCGAATCGTCAGCTATGCTGCAGTATTATGTGCATTCGAGAAAGAAAAACACATCTGGCTTGAGTACGATGATGATTCTCAAAATCGTCTCGATATCCATGCTTCTAGGTTAACGTGTGGAATATTCAGGGAATTGCAAGGAAATTTGTTGTTCCTGTTGAGAAAAAATCGTTATGCAGGAATTTCGGATAAGGCATTCCTGCGTCTTAGACTTACGCGAAAGATGGCCGCACGAACGCCAGGGGCTGCATTTCTCCAACTTCCGTGTTGTCGCACAAGATTCTCGCAAAACTTGTCTGTCGAATTTCTTCTAGTTGATCTATTAAAAAATATTTAATTTAGGTGGGCATGCAGAACTGTCATGATGAACCAGAATAAAAAAATTATAAAAGCCAGAATGTTTAGAATATCGCGTCTCCCTGAAAATGAGATCATTTTTCTTAAATTGGAACCGTGTGTCATTTATCGAAAACAGGCGAAAAAATTACTATGGGGAAGATTTTGTTCAAAATTTTAGAGATTGGTAGGCACCTTTCACGGAATTTTGAATGAAAAAACTGCAATACGGAAGAATACAAGGAAGAGAGAGAGAGAGAGGATTTCAGAAAAGAAGGATTAGAAAATCCCGGAGATCTAGATTCTAAAAGATGGGGACGAAATATTCCCTTGTTCCGGTTGATATTCCCAACATTGCTTGAATACATTCTTGCTACGGCTTGATTCCCTGACTTAGTCTCAACGTTAGAGGAATAACTCTTTTTAAATCGGAACATATTCGTAAACCTTCAGTGAAAGACGCTGCGTGTCCTCCAAATTCGTAGAAGAATCTGTCGCCTCGTTTCAGTCTGGTAAATTGGTCACCAATTATGCAAAGGAACGTAGGACCCAGCACAGCATCAGGAACAGATTCCTCGGAAACACCACCAATAAACAAGTCGATGTCATCTACGTGCTCGTAGACGCTTCGAAGTTTTCTGATAGTCTGCAAATCGCGAAAAGGGTTAATTTTGAGAATCCTTCTGACCTTAATGACTAAAACAGATGATAAATATTGGTGTGAAGTGCGTCTACATCAGAAACTTATTTGAGCCCCGTCATAATTTCCAAGTCTTTCTGATGAAATAAATGAGGAACAATTTTGATTGTACAGTAAAATAATTATCTTATATTGACCATTATTTTCTACTGATATATGCTGATTGTTTGAAAAATAAAATTAATTAACAAAAGCATACTCAGGAGAATAATACTTCCTCCCAAATAAACATTTTCATTCAAACCTGCTGTTTATCCTTTGAAATAAAGGAAAATTCTTTCCAGCAGAGATATGTCATGCAGTTTATTTCCTTGAATGCTAAATTTCTGTACACGAAGTTTTGCTTCTTTGACGGAGTTGGGAAACTTCGAATGCTGCACCAGTTCGTTTCTTTCCAATTTTCTGCGAATCATGTTCATTAGGGATACTTGATACGTGTCTTAGGTCCGGTTTGAAAAAACATAACTCGAGTCTCGAACTTTACGTAAGTAATTTTACTGTGAAAATATTGTACCCCAAATACCTCTTTGACGACCCTGGTATAAACAATAAATACTTCCTGACGAGATTTGTTGTGACGGAATTTTACTGTATTTTGTTACGAGCTTATCTGTCGGACGACTGCATCCAACGCAAGGTAAAAATTTCAATCTTTTTTCCTTCTGTACTTACTTCAGGTGACATTTCTTGGAGCAAGTCTTCGAAGTTTCTCGCCCTGCCCAAGTGACACAGTTCCCGGACTTGATTGTAAGTAGAAAGTCCGTGGTCTCTCGCACGTTGAATATTTAGTGAAATCAGGTCCAAGCCGAATGGATTCGTGGTCCTGAACAGCTGATTCGTCACCTATTGATTTAAAGCATTGATTCCTCATTAATTATTCCTTTCTTCGTAAATCAGATCTCTATCTATTGAGGAGGAGGAAAAACTTACTTCTTCAGTGATGCAGTTGTCAAAGGTCTGCATGGGCTGGAGACTCAGTCCCCTGGCTAAGTTGTCGGGTGTTGTACCACGCACCATTTACGAACCCAACAACTTGTGTAACGCGTCCTACTGAAGAACAAGTCGACAGACGCTCGGACCGAGCTTTTCAGACGTTTACCCAGGGTTTTGTAACATAAAAGAATAAATAACTTGGAAAAAATAATAATTCAACAAAAATAGAACATTTCGCAAGATTTAATAAGAGAATATTCTGCACATCAAAAAAATTTAAATTTTTTAAACTCTCTTGACACAATTTCAGCTCATTGTGAAATTAGTTTAAAATGCTGGCTGGAATGGGAAAGTTTTCACTTCTCATCTTATGCTGTGTTCTAAATGAATCGTTAAAATCTGGAGAAAAAAAAATCCCAGAAAACTTCCAGAAGAACGATACTGATGTACCGTACACGTATAGAATCTCTCTAAACAATTTTCTCTGCACACTTTTTTGTTCTAGGGCATTTTCCGTCATGGTTCTCTACAACGCAATTCCCTCTAAAATGATTATTTTCCTGGTCACCTAAACTTCTTTGTAAGGGATCCACCAGTATATTTCTCATATTGTTTATGACTGTTGAAAGTATTCAATCCCGCCCAGAAATATGACTACCCTCATATACAGTATATATTGTGCAGAAGGATATTTCTGCATGGCGAAAACGCCAATAAGTTTCCTTTGAGCTCTCATTGGTTATAATGACACATCCACAATACGCTTATCCGCGGTATGCGACAGCTCTCAAGTTTTCAAGTGACATGTTTCGGAAATGTATTCCGAAAAAGAATTGTGGCACAGAAAGAATCCCAAATTGTGCTCATCAATTCCAGCCGCCAGAGTTAAAGCGTATGAGAAAATTGTTTCATGCTGTCATGCATAGTGCAGAATAATGATGCGGCCATGTACAGTTTCGTCAATTCACAGTTTACCTTGACATTCCTTTAACTTTCCTTTCCTTAATGAGGCAATCGTTCCGCTGAACATTAATGAGCTTATAAACTTGGGTATGCAGGCTTTATTGGTGTAAACTTGTATCACCAGCAAATCACCGATGACTCACTGGTAAGTCCTCTGCAGAAGAGTGTGTCCGAACCGGAAGGCAGCTGTAGCAAACTCGTTGGTCACTGACGGATCAATGCTGGGGTCGTACTCCCTGGAAAATCCTTCTCTTTGCGGGAAAAGCCGGAAGTTGAACATGTACCTGGGTCCAAGAATGAGCGGAAGCCATTCGTTGTAGACGATGTGTTGCAACTCGGCCACCACGATTCTTCGGCTCTCCTGAAACAACCGTTCGTCGTCCCAATGCGGATTGAGAGCCTGCAACTCTCCGGCAACCCTGTTGTGCTCGCGGACCCACACAAGGTGGATGAGGGTCAGGCCGATTTGCTCATTCACTCGGTCGTCTCCTGCAATCGTTGGTTTTAGATTTGAACGCAATAATAAGCAACCCTTGCCGTTTAGAAACCTAATTTCTATAGGAGGCAAAGTTCGATTCATTCAACATTTTCTAAATACAGTAAGCTATATACAATATTCGTCTACGCCTGCCGGACTACGCGCAATTTATAAACCAAAGATGAAAAGTGAGCATTTTAATACAGGCTCGCCCAGTGAAACTTCAATTTAATCATGCTCGGTTTGGATTTTTCCGCATTTTACGGTTTTTACAAAGGCTAATTCGGACAATTGGACAACGAATTTTTCATTGCATCTATATAGAAAAAAGAATCTCTAACTTAATATGCTGCGAAGTTGGATTACGTCTCGAATATGAATTTCTGCCATTGCAAACCTTTGCTTTGAAAATATCATCGATATGGATTGTAGCGCAGTACAATAGAGGGACTTCGTGCTTCAGCGGAACGATTTCCCATAACATAAACACTCTGTTATTGCTTCATTCCGAAGATGATGAGTCAACGAACTCGCACATTCTTGAGTCACCCAGTTCTACACCTTCCCAGAACAGTTCCGATTGTTTTAGGACGATAAACGATAGAAACTATCCTGAGTAGGACTACTATTAAAAAAAGTTTGATGGCTGCCGAAAGCCGCGTCACGTAACTTGGAGTAGATCGAAGTTTGATTTAATATTAATATACGGTACTTCATAAGAGCTTGATTATTCTCACACTAACATGCTCCATAGACGTCTCCACACGTCCAAGGAAAAAGCAGGGGAATACGAAATCGGCACCTTTAAATGTACATCTCGGCAAAATATAACGTGGTAAAATTGCGCAGTGTATTCCAAAGCAGAAGTGCGTGCACAGTATATACAGTATAGCCAATACTGTACTGCATTTAACCTGCTTTGAAGCAGCGGATGCCAGCGGTTTTGTTGGTGCAATCGTCGCCTTCGTTGTCTGCCAGCGGGAGCATGGGGAGGTGATGGGAACCTGTGTTCAGGACCTGAAGTTGTCCGTTACGGAATAGACGTAAATTACGGGCTTCCTCTTCGTGCGAGCCGTATACGGCGGACCCGTCCAGGTAATGGGAGTTCACGTTCATCTGCATATTTTCAACGAGGAAGACAACACCAGTTGAATAATCTTTGCATGCGACGAAAATCGCGATTCCTGTTTGCATTCAGTACTGTGCTGTATATGCTTGAACGCAAAATACTAAGTGAGTGCACCAGCATTAAGTTCTTCGTCCGAGAAAAAATTGGAATTCGCTCAAAGCGAACTCTTCTATCGCGCCTCGGATTTCTGAAGATGAAGCGAAACTATCGTACAGTATATATGTACACAACAATCGGAATATATCCGATCGCTAATGCGTCTCGTTTGAATTCTCGAAGCGAGGAAGCACTATACGACGTAAAACGTGAGAACTATAATCTTCATCGAATAAACTCCCAGGAAATGCTAAGAGCCTCATCAGTGCCATCACCAGAGATACATCATAACCCGCGTCAACGGATGACTGGTGCTTCTTCCTACGGTACGTAATGCCGAGTAATGTATGCGAAAGAACACTTCCAGACGAAAGAGTGCCTTACATGTCGGCATTTTTGGGTTATCGCGTGGTATGCTAAATTTCAAAAGCCTTCAGCTGGGCTTTCAAAGTCCAAATTCTTACAGGTCCAAAATTAATGCACTGCACTGTAAAGGGAAAAATGCGATGTGTCAGACGATGCAGTCAGTTAACACTAAATGCGTGTCCAATAGCGAAGTTATAGAGGGAAATCAGCGCAGAAATGCTTTCAGAAAACGGTTGAATGAGCACGAGACATAGTTCATTTGTTAATATCCTTCTATATTTAAACTTTTTTATACTCGGAGTTTTTGTACTCGATCGAGCATATATGCAGTGAACGAACAGCACTGCAGCAATGCTGTATACTGTACTAGCCTGCAGAAAGTTGAAAATTCTTATGTAAGGGTCAGATTTATTTCCGGAAGTGTTACCACTATGTTGCGAAACCCGCTCGTCAACGTTCGAATGTTCGTAGGAAACACACGGGATTCTTCATGTTCTACGGTAAGTGCGTGATCGACGAGATACTGTATATCCTGCTGGACACGTTTACAGTATACACCCTTTGTGTTACGAGTTACGACTAAATATGCCTATCGTCCTCCGCTATGCGAAATTGTTCGTGCTGTGTTTTCTTTTCTCAAAATTAATTTATCCTTTCGATTATCTGCGAGCGAGTAAGGGTAGAGTACAGTACATATCTTCCAGAGTTGATGAACCCTTACCTGCTCTGCCCACCCTAGGGTGCAACCCGGCCTCGGAGCTGGAATAGCTCGAACGAACTCCATGCACTTCTGCCGGTATCTCGCGTAGAACCGATCTTGGTTTGGGATCTCGATCGGCATACATGAAGGGTGTGGAGCTGGAACGATCGGTTGGCCATTTCTGCAGCACATGATACCCGTATTCTCCGCTGGATCTGTTGTACACAATAATGCCTGCTGATTTGCTCAATATTATGCTCCAACAAATAAATTCCCTTGTATCATGCTTACAGACGAATGACGTTTCATCTATACATGTGCAGATATGAATGAATCGTTACCGAGTTTGAAGACCCCAGCATGAGTGATATCGTGGTCCAGAAAT